ATGGTCTACTAAGTTTAAGTTGTCACTTTTTACTTGTTTTAGATCGATCGGTATTTTGGTTCCAAAGCTCGTAATAATTGGCTGTCACCAGTATATATACAAGTGGATTTCTCATGGGTTTTAGTAACAGCTCTGCCTGTGAGAACTTAAAAAGTTCTGAAGGATGTGAGAGTTCCTCAATGTGAACCCAGGTTGGTCCAGAGAAACTCTGCCTTGGGGTGTCTAAGGACATGAGAGTGTCACGTGAACCCACGGAAAAGGGGAGAAAACCCGCCTGAGGCCTGGCCCAGTGGCAATCTCCAGGGGTTGCTCACCTGTGGTAAATTGAGTCGGTGTTGTTTGCGAGCCAGCAGCGACAAGTTTACAGCTCCCGAGTGTAGAAGTGATGAACTAGGTAACCATCCAGGATGTAGTCTAGTCCTGAACGGCAGGAGACTCAGACTGGGAGAATCCCAGGAGTCTCTCATCTGCCATTCCCAGTCAGGGAACCATATGATAGAATTTTGGGGGATGGTGGCCGAAAAGATAAGAAGTATGAAATATAAATGACCTTTATTTTAAGAATGCGGGGAGAGACCCCCTAACACCCTGGGGTGTGGCATCTCTCCCCAGGGTCAGCGATCTCTCTGTGGAACATGTGGAGTGGAGGCATATAAGTAGCCTAGGTTTGGGGTGGAACCTAAGGGGCATTAGTGATGCACAGGTAGCCCATTGGCACTCATTTGGTGCCAGAGGTAAATTTCTAGGGGTGGGGAAGATTCAGTCACAGGTAAATTCCTAGGGGTGGGAAAGATGGAGCTCCTTGGTTCCACCTGAGGCTTTACCGGCTACAGTGTGCTGTCTGGGCCAAAACTCTTTCACCCACTGTTACTACATGACTTCAGCATTTTAATGGGATTCCTCACCAATATAGCAAGGCAAGAAAAATAAGTAAAATATTTAAGGACTGAGAACAAAGAACAGATATAATTCTAAATGTAGAAAAGACAAACAGAATCGACAGGGTGCTGGATCTTTGTTATCAGTATTTTAAAATATCACTGTTTCTATATACCACCAGCAAATAGAAAAGAGATCATTTAAAACACAAACTAATAGCAAAAAGTATCGAAGATTAAAACTATCCAAAATTAAGACTTTTATACAGCTTTTTGTTTTTGTTTTTACAGTTTTGGGGACTGAACTTAGGGTTTGATCTGTACAAGGCAAATCACTGTGCCACATTCCTAACTTCAGATTTTGAGACTATATATTTGTATTATTTAAAGAAGCTTGTTAATATGTTGTAAAGGATTGACAGAATATCACTATTAAGCATATTTCCCTTACATTTTCTGTATTTACCATATCTTATGGAATAATCAAATATATCTTAAAATTCATGTTCCAAGGTCTGTACTTGTTTTTTAAAGGAACAGATAGTACATATTTTATACTTTTTTTGACTGTATTATTCTATTGTAATATTCAGTTCTGTTATGGTGGTTCAAAAGAAACCATAGACAATATTTAATCCAGTGGGCATGGCTGTATCTTGTTTACTGATACTATCAGTAATTTTGTTTACTGATATTGTCAGTGGGCCAGATTTGAACTGTGAGCCAGTATACTAATTTCTTCTTTTTCTTACTGATACTTTCAGTGGACCAGATTTGACTTGTGAGCCAGTGCCTGCCTAGGAAGCACAAGGTCATGCATTCAATACCTGGTACCTACACAAAAAAAAGAATTAGAAATGATTTTTCCTATCAAATTAGAATAAAACAAATTTTTTCTATTCTGACACTAAGAAGTCATATCCATAGTTACCTGTTACCAGAAGTTCTAAGAAAAGTCTATCCAGAAACTATCCAAAAGGGATTTTATAATTTAAAAAAAAAAACTCACTTGCCAGATGTTTACAGGTTATTCTTCACTGTATTACATTTGTAAGACTTACATCAAAGCAATATTGCCAGGTATGGTGGCCCATACCTGTAATCCCACCACTATAGAGGCTGCTACAGGAGGGTTGCCACAAATTTAAGCCCAGCCAGGGATACAAAGAGAGTTCAAGGCCAGCCTGAACTACATAGTGAAACCCTGTCTGAAAAACAAACAAAAAAGCCACATGAAAGAGCAATAGTTTAAAACTGTTAAAGATTGATATACGGATTAAAAAAAAAACAAAGGTGGTATATACACACAATGGAATTACTTAGCCATAAAGAAGAATAAAATCATGTAATTTTTGGGAAAATGGATGGAACTAGAAACCATCATCTTAAGTGAAATTAGCCATATGCAGAAAAAGATAAATACCACATTTTCTTTTGAATGAGAAATGTAAAAATACATAAGTTAATAAATAAATAATATGAAGGAGAGATGACAGGAAACCAGGAAATAGACTTTTGGCAAAGGGGAAGGGGATTATTGAGATTAAAATTGACCAAGATATGCTAAGTATATGCATCAGCTTTCCAAAGCAGACCCCATCATTATGTCATACTAAAATATACAATGAAACATAACAGAATTTATGGTGTATAAAAATAGAATTTAAAATTTTTACAATAAAAAAATACATAATTTATATGGTAATAGTTCAAAGGGAATGAAACAAGTTTTTATATATTGGTGTAATTATGTAATTAATGTGACATTAATAAAAACTAGGTTATTTTAAATTATGAATTATAATCCCTAGGGCAACTTTTTTTTCTTTTTTTTTTGGTACTGGGGATGTAACTCATGACCTTCATTCTTGCCAGGCAGGTGCTTATGCCGCTGAGCTAAATCCCCAGCCCCTTAGGCAACATCTATAAAGATATATAGTGAAAGAAAAAGCAAAAGACTTAAAATGACAGACCAGAAAGTATTTTTAATATGAAACAGCACAATAATGGAGGACTAGATGAATAACAAGAACAACAAAACAAGCTGTATAGAAAAGTAATAGTACAATGAAAGAGGTAAGTCCAGCCTTAATAGTAATTTGCATAGATGCAAATGGGTTAAACAGAATGAATGCCCCTACTAAGAAGACTGTCACAAAATAGTGGAGTAGATACCTATTTCAATAGATGCACAGATCTCTACACAAATAAAGAAGATACGTAAAAAACAAGGAAGATGCCAAATTTTACATTAATAGATTCCAAAGTGAATGATAGATTGAAAAGGATGAAATGGCAGACTAAAGAATTCAGAAGAATGGTTTTTTAAAAAATTGCAGTGAATTCCAGGAGAATATAAATAAACTGTTGAATACATTGAGGAAGACAGTACAGAGTATGAATGAGAAATTCAGAAAAGACATAAAGACGTTAAAAAAGAACCAAACAAAAATTTTGAAAATGAAAAACTTGTTAAATCAGATTTTAAAATTCAGTTGAAAGCCTCATTAACACACTAGATCAAATGGAAGAAAATATCAGAGTTTAAAGAAAGGCTGATAAAGCATTACATTCAATAAAAATAAAACATACAAAAAAGCATACAAAAGAATGAACAGGACATAAGATTTTGGGAGCATCATTAAAAAACTAAACATCCACATAATTAGCATACTTGAGAGAGACAAGTTATAGGCAGAAAGCACTGGAACACGAGAGTAAGTCTTTGGGTACTTAAGTTAGGCAGTGGTTTCTTAGGTATGACACCAAAAGTTGAAGTGAAAAAAGAACAATACAAAGTTGAGCTTAGTTATATATATGATAAATTCTTATAGGTAGAATATACAAAGAACTCTTACAAATCAACTATGGCAGTCCAGTGAAAAAAGAGGTAAAAGACTTGAATATACATTTCACCAAAGAAGACACACAGGTATCTAATAAACATATAAAAAGTTCTTCAAAATCATTGGTCATTAGAGAAATGTAAATTAAAACTACAATAGGATAACAAGTGATCAACTGAGATGGAAAAAATAAGATAGATAATAACAAGTATTGGGAAGAATTTGTACTAGTTGGAATATTCATATGTTGCTTCTCAGAATGTAAAATTATACAGTCACTTTGGAAGCCAGTTTAGCCATTCTTCAAAAAGACTAATATAGTATTGCCATGTGACTCAGCAATTTCATTCCTAAGTATAAAAAGAAATACATATCCATAAACTTCTGCATATGACTGTTCACAGCAGCATTATTTGCATTAGCACAAATAAAACAAAAAGGAAATAAATGGTTTATCATGTGATGAATTAAGTAAAATGTGATATGTCAGTGCAACGTAATGTAATATAATGAAATGCTTTTCAATGAAAAGGATTAAATAACTGATATCTCTTGTTCTGTGGATGAACCTTGAAAACATGCTAAATGAGAAGATTCCATTATTTGAAGTATAAAATAAATCAGAATAGAAAAATTTGTAAAGATATATCAGTGGTAACTTTCAGTTGGGGAATAAATAAGGGTTTTCTGATGTGACTGCTAATGAATATGGAGTTTTTAAAGGCATAATGAAAATGTTCTAAAATTGAATCATAGTGATATTCTACAAAGATCAAATTGAATACATTGAATGGATGAACTTTATGGCATTGAGTTATATCTTAAAGCTTTTAAAAAAATCAGCTGAGAATGACTTTTTTCTTTGAAGGACAGGTTTTTAATCCCCATGTCTTTTCTAACAGCGGCAGCAGTTACTCATTTGCTTTCCAAATTAGCATTTTCAGCATTTGCTACTGGATTTAAAAATTATATGTTTACTTTTTGTTAATATTAATGTCTACATTTCTTAGTTTCCTATGATTGCTTCTGTTTTCTACATCATATATTGCACCAAAGTGTGCAATATGTTACACTTATTGGTTTAACACTTTATCATGTTTTTTTGTATTTTCTTCCTGCATTTTTACCATGTTCTTGTCTAGATGTCTTTTTGTCCCCGACTTGTATTTAACACTGTTAGCTGTGTTTTCTGATAATGGGATAATATCTTTGAGTATGATGAAAGAGTATGTTTAAACTTTTTGGACGCTGATGGAATGTTTCAATTGTCTTATAGATTTTACTTTCCTCACTGGTATTGCAGTGGAAACAACAGAACCTATCGGTATGGAATATCTCGAGGTGCTGAAGCTCCTCTTCTTGATGATTTTGTCATGTCTTACCTTTTTGCTCAGGTATGACTGTATTATTTCATGGTGTGCATATTAAATGATAAATATCTTAAATGCTAACTATCTCTTAAGACAAACTTCATATGGGAAAATTATAGCTTTGTCTTGTGCAGCTAAAAATAGACTTTTAATACTAATTTTTAATCCCATGATTAATAAGTAAGAAAATCTATTTCATGAAGATTTATAGAACTGATCATTTTCCTTTTATTTTAGGACTTTCAAAAACTTTAACAATTTCACAAAGCGTAACTGACTTTTATAACATGATTCATATGACAATAGATGGTTGAAATACTGAACAATGAAATTTCTGTGGAGTGTTTTTTAAAAATTTCTGTATAATACCAGACTTAAATAGCGGATAGTAAAATGTGAAGAAAGTTATGTGAATAAGAGTTAATGATAGTTTGTGTAGCTCCCTGTGGTTGGGTGAGGAGATATTGATACTTAGATGTTTTACCTACTTGGTCATTAATACAGTTGTATTAATTTTGTGTAGTGTTTAATCATTTTATCATATTTCCACTTTACTTGATTTAAATAGTAATTGAAATACTTTGTCATTAAGTAACTTTTGTATCCATATACTAATGGAATAGTGTGAATGGAAAAGAGAGAACAGACAATTTTTGCCCTTCGGTAAAGACACTCCTAAAGTATCAAATTAAAGGGTTCTAATTCAGATTTGCTAATGTCATAGGAAATAATCCTACACATTATCATGGCTTACATTTCTAGTAAGTCTAGTAAGTGTGGGCAATAAATTAAAAAATACTTTTCTATTGAGGTGTGAGACCAACTTTTTATTGTAGTAAAAATATATTGACCATTTTAGCCATTGTTAAGTGTATAGTTTACATTAAATAAGTACATTATTTTCAGACCATCACTATTACACATCTTTATAACATTTAAAAAATTTTTTTCAAACTGAAACTTCATATGCATTAGATCCTTCATCTCCTGGTCCTTGAAAAACTCACTGCTCCCCTTCCCTCCCATTTTCTCATTTTCTTCCCTTCTCTTTTCTTTTCTTCTTCTTCTTCTTCTTCTTCTTCTTCTTCTTCTTCTTCTTCTTCTTCTTCTTTTTTTTTTTTTTTTTTTTGTTCTTTGAGACAGGGTCTCATTATGTAGTTCAGGCAGGCATATGCAACCATACTTACTTCATTCTACTTTCTGTCTCTATGAATTTGCTGATTTTATATACCTCATACAAGTGAAATTATACAATATTTTTCTGTTACCAGTTGGTTTTACCTAGTTTGTCTTCAGGGTTCGTACATGTCATAGCATGTATTCGAATTTTTTTAAAGCTGAATTCTGTTGCTTTGTGTATGTATACTATATCTTTTGTATTCATTTTTCTGTTGATGGACCTTAGGGTTGCTTCTGCCTTTTAACTATTTGTGAATAATGCTCCTGTGAACATAGTCACACAAATATTTCTTTGAATCTTAATTCTATTGGAAATAAATGCAGAAGTGGAACTACAATTATATAAATGCAGAATTACCATTATATATGGTAATTCTGTTTGTAATAGTTAAGGAGCTGCCATATTGTTTTTTGTCATGCCTATACCATTTTGTATTTCTATAAAGAGTATACCAGTGTTTCAGTTTCTCTACACTCTTGATAGCTTACTTTTTTAAAATAATAGCTGTCATTATAGGTATGAAGTGATATTTTATTCATGTTTTGATTTGTATTTTCTAGGTGGATAATGATATTAGCCATATTTTCATATGTTTGCTCTTCATTCATGTGTCCTTTTTGGAGAACTACTTACCTCTCACAGCTTATTTCAGAAGATTCAGTCTATGGTCAGCTGGCTCCGTGGCACAAGGGCATGATGAAACAAAGCTTCTTAGTTCGTGGGGGCTGGGCAGCAGAGTAGGTGAAAAGTGTGAGAGAGGAAGAGTACAGGGATCAGACATATACCCCAAGATCATGCCTATATGACCCAACCAGACATACCTAAAAATATGCTTTACTAATCTCCTAAGATAGCTCCCAAACCAATCAAGTTAATAGCTGAACTTAGCCATCACATCCCAGTTGTTTTCCTAAATACATTTCCTTAAATCATACCTAATCTTGAAATAAACACAATAACAAGATCATAATTCTACCTACCATAATATAGTTATTCCATTTAGAACCAGGTACATAACACTTCCTTACCCAAAGTCTCAACAGTTCTAACATTGCCCAAAAGTCTAAGAACAAGTTTCCTCAGCAGATATTCCATGTTCTTGGTACATTCAACCTTCTGGAGTTTCTAATGTATGTCTGAGTTTATTCTCACAGCTGCCTGTATTGCCCTCCCAGGGGCTGCCTGCTCAACCTCCTAGGGTTTCCTTTGAAATCTGAAAGGATGCCTTCCTGACCACACAACTTCTACATCTGTTAAAAGTAGTAACAACCACAGTCTGTTGTCAGTAGGACTAGCAGCTAGGCCACATTGGACTGTGGCTACACTGGCCTCTTGAGTTTCTAGATGACTGAGCATGGTAAAATGAATCCCAGAGAACCTATTCCCTCTGAAGCCTTTCTTTAGCAGGAGTTCCAGGGACTGTCTTCTTAAATGAAAAGATGATACTTTTACCATAATAGATGTGGTCTTACTGATTCCTGAGATGCTCCAAAGGCATCTTTTTTTCTTGTTTCCACACAAAGCACTCAGTTTCTTTTAAAGGTCACTATTCTCTTCAGCAACAACACCTCCTTGAGCCCAGAACTTTATGCATCATTCTTTCAGGGTGAAGATTTAATTTTTTTCTGCTTCTTTCTTGCCTCTGTTTTCACTGTAAATCTGGCTAAAAGAAGCTAGTGATAGCCAGGCCACAACCTGAATATTGGGCTGCCTTGAATTTTCCTCTCTCAGATCAGTTAATGTTATTTTCCCTTAGTCTCAGGATGCAGGCAAAATGTAGACAAATATTTATTTATTTATTTATTTATTGCCAGAGCACAACAGCACATGACCTCTAATCCAACTGTCAGCAGAGTGTACTTGTTCTGAACTGACATGTACTGAGATCAGCCCTGATTGTGTGTGTTGTTAGCAGCATTTTGATCTTCTGCACTGTGGCCATTATCATTCATTATTAGACTTTGCTTACAGCCTTTTAGGTCTTTTTAAACCTGCGTTTACAAGCCTTTTCCAAACTCTTCCCACAGATCAGTTCCAAAGACTTGTGTACCACATGGTCAGGTAAAGTCACAGCAATGATCACATTTCTCTGGTACCACCTTTCTATATTACCTGTCCCATTGGTGATATCAAATCCCTTACATCCACAATTTAAAGAAAGAAATGGTTAATTTGGCTTATAGTTTCAGAGGACTTAATCCATGGTAAGTTGATCATCTTGACAAATGTCATGGTAGAGCAGAGTTGCTTAGTTCTTGGGAGCTGGGAAGTAGAGCATAAGACTGCTAGATACAGACCCCATGGTCATGCCTCCACTACCCACCCAGTCATATCCAGAAATGTACTTTACTAATCCCATTATGTAGCTCTCAAACCAATGAAATTGACAATTAAACCTAATTACCACAAATTTCTATTCAGGTCCTTTGTCTACTTTTTTATCAGTTGGTTTTTTTGTTTTGTTTTTTGGTATTTGGTTGTTAAATCATAGGAGCTCTTTCTGTATTCTGGATATTAGCCTTCATCAGTTACATGATATGTACATGTATTTTTCCACTTTATAGGTTATCTTTTCACATTGTTTCATACATCCTTTGATTAACAAAAGTTTTTAATTTGCTGAGTATGGTGATGCATTCTTGTAATCCCAGCTATTCAGGGAGCTAAGTTAGGAGGATTGCAAGTTTGAGACTAGTGCTGACAATTTGGCAATACCCTGTTTCAAAAGGAAAAGGGTGGGTGGGAATATAGCTTAATGGTAGAATGTAGCAGGTGAGAGGCCCTGGGTTCCATCTTCAGTATTACAAGAAAAGGTTTAAATTTTGATGTATTCTAACTTAATTTATATTGTTACCTGTGATTTTGCCAAAGCCAATATGTACTTTGCTAGAGCCCACGTCATGAATCCCAACCCCATGTTTTTTTCCTAAGAATTTTTACAGTTTTAGCTCTTAACAATTAGGCCTTGAACCATTTTGAGTTAATTTTTGTGTTAAGGGTCCAACTTTATTCTTTTGCATGATGATATTTTTTTCCTAATCTCTTTGTTGAAATACTGCCCTTTCTCCATTCATGGTCTTAGAATCTTTATTGAAAATTATTTGACTACCAGAGTATTTTTTCTAGTTTACTTTCTCTCTGTAGTCAGTTTTTCAGATTTTAGTTTATTAGTACATGTTTGCTATACATGAAGTTTACTTTGTTTTAGGGAGAAAGTATACTTCTCTTAGAGAGATGGTGCTATTTTTGAAGTTTATTCACCTTAATGAGATGGTACACATACTTAACATATCTTGATTCTTTTTATTCTTGTTTCCCTCCCCATCTGCTTCCCTCCATCTCTAGCTACCCGTTTTAGTTACTTTTCTTGTGGCTGAGACAAAATATCTAATACCCATGTGTAACTTCTAACTAGATTTTAGTCCTTTTGATTGCCAACACCACATCTTGTGTCTCTTTGTATCCTACATAAATGAAACTGGATGCATATTTAATTATCTGTCTTAAGTTAGGTGATTTTTATGTACTACTTTGAAATTTTTATGATCTTTGAAAATACATGCAATCAAATAAGTTGATATAAAATATATCCCAGCTATGGACTCAGTTGCAATCCATTTGCAAATGGACTTTTACTAGAATTTAATGGCAGAATGATTGAAAATCAAAGGAAGCATTGATTTATGCCTTTTAATTGCATATGTTTTGGAAATTATGTTGTAGGTTAGTGGTGGCAAACCTGAGGCACATGTGCTACAAGTTGTTTGTTATCATTGCAAACTCTAAAATATTACTATTATCCTACCACTGTTACAGGTTAAAATACAATAATAAATTAAAATGTGATCTTGTGATCTCTTATATTATTTCCTTTTTTATTTTTGTTTCTTCAGTGGCGGCATGATTTTGTGCATGGGTGGATAAAAGTACCTGTGACACATGAAACACAGGAAGAATGTCTTGGAATGGCAGTGTTAGATATGATGAGAATAGCTAAAGAAAAAGATCAAACTCCATTGGCCATCTATAACTCAGTCAGGTAATTTCCTTCACCATATCCTTATATATAAATGTAAACAGATTTTATATAATTTACTTGTATTTTCTGTTTGTTCGTATTTTTAAATTTATAATAAGATATTGGTAACTTTTAAATTTTATATAATAGTTTACGAATTTTTTTTTTTTTTTTGGTACTGGGGATTGAACTCAACGACTGCGTGCTTGCAAGGCAAGCGCTTATGCCACTGATCTAAACCCTTGGCCCAATTTATGAAATTATTGAGTTAGTGCCACAGAAAATGTGCTGAATATCTATATATTATTTGATTATTATTATTCTTAAAAGGCTAAATAAACTCATAGGAATGGAAAGAATACCTGGAGAGATAATTTTTGATAGCAGATCCTTAAATTGTGTGAGGTCCCTGTTAAAACTGTAGAGTCCTGGCCCATAACTTGGATTCAATAATTCTAAAAGGTGAAGCCCACAATTATGAAATTTACAGATACTTCAGAGGATGTTTATACAAATGATTCAAACTCAGCATTCTCCAAATGATTATTCTGCATTACTGTATTTTGGCAATCATGACTAAAAGTTTTTGAAATATCATTCCAATAACCCTGTTTTAATGTCTGTGAAATTTCTACTTTTAAAAAAGGTATATATAGTAAGTCCCTGACTTATGAATGAGTTTCATACTGGGAGAACATTTGTCAATTTGTTTATAAGTCCAGCTGGTTCAAAGTCTGACAAACTGAGTCTTATACACCTTTGATACAAATGGATAATGTAAAACATTTTTTAAAAAACCAAATACACAAAAAATACTGTACACTATCATACTGTATGTTAGGCTCACAATAACACAACTGTAACAGTGTTCAGCAGGCATGTGAACTACTATGATTTGTTCACATTTATGAATGTTCTTAATGTCAGGTCCTTTTGTATTTATGAAAACATTGAGTGTTTCTAAGTTGGAGACTTACTGTCTAGCTATATAAGGATGCTTCGATTTTTTTTTTAAGTTCAAAGCCCAAATATGTATTTTACATGCTAAATATTTACTAGATTAAAAGTTCGAGGCTCTAGCAGGGTATGATGGCCCATGTATATATTCTTGAGTTACTAGGATGGCTGAGGCAGGAGCTTCACAAGTTTGTTAACAGTCTGGGCAATGTATTGAGACTGTCTGAAAATAAAATTTTAAAAGGACTGGGGTAGGGGAAAGGAGAAAAGAAAGAAGAGAAAAGATTATATGTATATATGTATACATATATATGTTTGCAAACAATTTTCTATTTTGTTTTGAAATTCTATGTTGTTTTTATCCTTTTTTTGTTTTGTTTTGAAAATTAAAAATTAAAAAAAAAAGATTAGGGTGTAGCTCAGTGTCAGAGCACCTGTCTAGTGTGTATCAGGCCCTGGGTTCACATACATAAAAAAAAGATTGAGTATGTTAACATGGTTGAAACTCACTTTCTTTTTCAGAGTTTTTCTTCCAATAAATATCTTGAGTAACTTCTTTGCTGAGTAGCTTTAAAACAGTTCCATATCCAGTTTGTAGAAGAGCAGTTTCTTTTTTTCTTCTTTAGTTTTAAGTATTTTTGTTGTTGTTGTTTTCAGATGTCTATTAGCCTTAACTTGAGGCAGTAAACTATAAGTTTGATTTCAAGAATATAGGAATGTGAGGATTAAGTCTAAAAGAAAACCCAAAGCACTATCATTTTTCATTAAGGTGGTGATCTTTACTAAAATAAAGAAGCCCATTAAATATTAGCCTACTTATTTATTCAGAATCTATTTTGAGTTATTTGATATATGTCAGCCTATAATAAAGCAAAGTGAGAGGAAGAGTATTCTAGAAGTTGTTAGAAAATGAAGGAATTGAAGGTAACACAGTTGAATAAAAAGTTTAAGCCACTGAAGATGAGCATTATACACATGAAGTTGCATGTAGGCTTATATACTATATAAATGGATACTTCTGTGTTTGCAATCACAATTTTATCCAAAGTCTTAACACAATCTTTTATGTAGATGGTGATTTTTTGAAGTCAGGAACCAAGCTATCTATGATTTTTCCTCCTATATCTTTCAGTATTCTAAACCCAATGGATATTTAGTAATTGTATTTCTGTGATTCTTTTAACCTATACTCTGAACCAGGATAAAAACATATCTGAAAACGTATGCCTAATTCTTTTTATTTACTTTACTTTTTAAATTATATGAACATTAAATGTATAGTATGATTCCATATACTTAAATATAATCTGCATACCATATGCAATTCATTCCAGTATTTATGAGGATATTCACAGAGTTGTATAAAGATTACCACAATCTAATTTTAGAACATTTTTATTCTTAAATCCAGTTGTTACTTGTATTCAACCCTTATCCTCTTTCCCTCTCCTCTGGCAACCACTAATCTACCTTTTGTCTCAAGGGATTTGCCTAGTCTGCATAGTTCCTGTAATGGTAACATACATGCATGTGATGGTGTTTGCTGTTTTATTTCATCTAGCATAATCTTTTCAGAGTCCATCAATGTTGTAACATTTCTTTTTATTGCTAATGCATATTTTACTGTATCAATATGTAACATTTTGCTTGTCTTTTCATCATTAATGAAAATTTGGTGGGTTTCTACTTTTGAATATTGTGAATGTTGTGGCAGGTAGAGTAGAGTTTAAACTTGATTGGCTTTGGACTGTGCCCCACGGATTGGCAGAATATGTTTCAAGGAGTATCTGGCTGGGTAATGGAAGTATGGCCTTGAGATCTATGTCTGGTTCCTCATCTTTCAGCTCCAACACTGTTCCTCTGTTGCTCTGCCATGATGTCTCTGCTTCAAAGCCAGTGGACTGTTAACTGTGAGCAAATTAAACCTCTCCACTTTAGGATGTACATGTTGAATTTTATGTCTTAGTGATAAGAAAGTAGAACAATACAGAAAAACTTCCTATAGAAGTGGGATTGTTGCTGTAACTATACTTGATCATGTGGTTCATAAGCGTTTGGAACTGATTTATAGGAGAACTTATGAAAAGTTTGGAGATGTAGGCTAGAGAAGCCCTAGAAAGTTGTGAGTAGTGGTTTATGGGCAACACTGGTCAGAACTCAGAAGTGAGGAAGAAAAGGGAAAGGGCAGAGAAGAGAAGGAAGGGAAAAGATAGAATAGAAAGAAAAAAGAAACGAAGCTTGTGTAAGTGGGAAAGGGAAGAAGGGTTGAAGGGAGGGGAAGGGAAAGGGAAAAAAGAATTAAGATATATTATGTACAGGTACAAATTCCCTATGATGAGTGTGATCAATATGTATGATTAAAATGTGTTAATAAATTAAAAAAAAAACACAGAATGCTGGGCTCAGAACAGTTTAGTTAGAAATGTTAAGAGTTGCCCAGAAGCCATGTAATACTCTGACAGAAAATTTGCCTGCATGTTCCCATGTTCTGAGACTTCTAAGAAGATGGAGTTTAAGGTCAGTGGACTATTTAATTGGGCAGAAGAAATTTCAAGACACCCTAACATTCAGGCTGTGGCATGGGTAATGTTAACTGCTTTTAGTCAGACTTATGGTAAGAATTAGGGATAGAAAGCAGACACAAATAATTGAAAACCTTAAATTTTGTCTCAAAAGAAACTATGTGCAAAATTGGACCAAACGTGCTGTGTTTGCTAAAGATAATAGTATCATTAAAAATAGCTGGGTGTAGTGGTGCACACCCATAATCTTAGCATTTGGGAGGCTGAAGCAGGAGGATTGCTGTGAGTTCAAGGCTAGCCTGGACTATAAAAGGGAGTTCAAGGCCAATCTGCACTGCATAGAGACCCTGTCTCAAAAAAACCAAACCCAAACCAAACCAGATTAAACCAAACCAAAGAAAACAACAAAAATAAACTTTGTATGGAGTACAAGAAAAAAGATACCTTCACGATATCTCAGGAATCAATCTGACCCTATGCATTTTTGTCTCAAGGGTACAGAAGTATCAAGTTTTCATTTAACAAGGATCTCCTTGGGAATAGCTTCCCTAGGATTCATTTTACCATGCTCAGTCATCTAAAAGCTCAGAGGTCCTAAGTCCAAGGTGGCTTGGACTTTTTTATGTAATGTTTTTACGGAATGCAAGACTTGCGTGATTAAGGAGGCATCCATCAAGATTTCAAAGGAAAGGTTGGGAGATGAACCAAAGACCCCTGAGAGGATATGCAGTCTAGTTGGAAGTTGTTTTCTTAAAGAGCTTGAAACTCTTTATTCCCTGTCACAGCATGTGACATGGATGTGCAGAAGATAAAGATTACTCAGAAACAAGACTTAATTCAGTCACCAAGAAGCAGTGCGGGTGCTTCTTGGGCATAAGAGAGTCTGGGAAGCAACTGAAACCTCCATCGTTATTTATTTCAACTGAAAGATATGAGAACAAAGATTTAGAGGAAAAGCATTTTGCAACATATTGTGTAGGAGTTTTTGTCATAGGACAGGAGAGGAATGAGATGGTTTGTTATGTGATACATGTCAACCTCGTTTAAACAGTAGTCTTCCCAGGGAAGAGGAAATACATTGGCCAAAGCAAACATCTCTGACTGTAACTTGCTCTTGATTCTGCCGACTGCGTTGGGCAGATCCTGCTCTAAAATTTAACCATGCATTCCAGGAGCATGGGAGCTGTCGTTCACCAAGGTCCCTGCCTTATTGCATTCAGGTTCAATAACTCCTTTGGCCAGCATAGTCCCACAATTCCATGCTGTTCCTATCTTTAAGATTTCTGTTGTGAAATCTTTAAGATTTTCTGTTGTGAAATGTTGTGGTAAGTGTTTTAAAAGTAGTTGATTAATTGTTTTTTTTGTCTAGCAGCCTTTAGGATTCTGTTCTTGGGTTGTATTTCTGGTTTGTTAATTAACTGTTATGTGACATGGAGTGTTTTTTCCCTGATGATGACTATTCAGGGTTCTCAGTGCATCATATATCTGTATGTTAAGTTCTTTTTCCATGTCTGGAAAGTTTTCTGCTGTTAACTTGTGTAA